AAAAAAAAAAAAAAAAAAAAAAAAAAAAGAAAAACTGGAAGCAAAAGCTGACACTGTTAGCCACGACACCAGCAGCAGAGAGTGATAGCTGGCCATATGACAAACGGAAAGGAGACCCCCCCAAATTAAGAAAAAACATATACAAAAACTCTAACCACAACCCAACCACTTCCAAGAGCCCTTGATCTTGTCATTTAACCTTGCAATACTTTGACTTCCTTGTCTGTTAAATATTAATGATGATACCTGATCATGAAGCTGCTGTAAGGATTTAAGGGAACATGGATTTAAGGAACCAGGCAGTACCTGATACACAGACAAAGCCCCAAAACATTCTTCTTTCCTCTGTTCCTACAGACATTAGCCTCAGTCCACAGCCTGACAAAGTATTTGACCATTCTCTGCTCTCCCAGAGAACCAGAGAGGAATGTTCCTATTTACTCGCATTGAGGAGAGAAGGAAGACTCAGGGGTTAACCATACAGACAACTTTAAGAAACCAGGGATGGCTTTTAAAATGTAGAGTCAAGGCTGGGTGCCTGTAGCTCAGTAGTTAGGATGCTGGCCACATGTTCCAGGGCTGGTGGGTTTGAACCCAACCCAGGCCTGCCAAACAACAATGACAACAACAACAAAATAGCCAGGTGTTGTGGCAGGCACCTGTAGTCCCAGCTACTAGAGAGGCTAAGGCAAGACAATCACTTGAGCCCAAGAGTTGCAGGTTGCTGTGAGCTATGACACCATGGCATTCTACCGAGGGTGACAAAGTGAGACTCTGTCTCAATAAAAAAAAAAAAAATACATAGAGTGAAGTGTGAGATTTCCTGGCTTGGCACCTTGGATGACAACCAATACATGATGTCATCACTGTCATTGCTTGACAATCTGAAAGAGAAGGTGCTTCACCCCTGTCTTAGTCCCTCTGGGCTTCTATAACAAAATACAACAGATTGAGTAGCTTATATAAACAACAGAAATTTATTTCTCATAGTTCTGAAGGCCAGAAGTCCAAGATCAAGGTGCCAGAAGAGTTAGGGTCTGGTGAAGGCCAGCTTCCTAGTTCACAGATGGCATCTTTCTCATATGGTAGAAAAACCAAACTTTTTTTTTTTTTGAGACAGAGTCTCACTCCATTGCCCTGGGTAGAGTGCCCTGGTGTCATAGACCACAACAACCTCAAGCAATCCTCTTGCCTCAGCCTCCTGAGTAGCTGGGACTATAGGTGCCCATCATAATGTCCAGCTAATTTTTCTATTTTTTTTTTGAGACAGAGCCTCAAGCTGTCACCATGGGTAGAGTGCTGTGGCATCACAGTTCACAGCAACCTTCAACTCCTGGGCTCAAGCGAGTCTCCTGCTTCATCTTCCCAAGTAGCTGGGACCACAGGCGCCCACTACAATGCCTGGCTATTTTTTGGTTGCAGCCGTCATTGTTGTTTGGCGGCCCAGGCTGGATTCGAACCTGCCACCTTAAGTGTATGTGGCTGGCACCTTAGCCCCTTGAGCCACAGGCGCTGAGCCTAATTTTTCTATTTTTAATAGAGACAGGGCTTCCCTCTTGCTCTGGCTAGTCTCAAACTCTTGAGCTCAGATGATCTACCCACCTCAGCCTCCCAGAGTGCTGCTAGGATTATAGGCATGAGCCGCCAGGCCTGGCCAAAACCAAACACTTTATGCAAACCTTTATTTGTGTATCATTTCAGTAACATTTTTTTAAGGAAAATCAGGCCGGGTCTGGTGGCTCATGCCTATAATCCCAGCACCCTGGAAGGATGAGGGGGGTGGATTGCTGGAGCTCAGGAGTTGGAGACCAGCCTGAGCAGGACTGAGACCCTGTTTCTAAAAATAGCCAGATGTGGCTCGGCACCTGTGGCTCAAGTGGCTAAGGCGCCAACCACATACACCTAAGGAGGTGGGTTCGAATCCAGCCCAGGCCGCCAAACAACAATGACGGCTATAACCAAAAAAAAATAGCCAGGCGTTGTGGCGGGTACCTGTGGTCCCAGCTACTTGGGAGGCTGAGGCAGGAGATTCGCTTGAGCCCAGGAGTGGGAGGTTGCTGTGAGCTGTGGTGCCATGGCACTCTGCCCAGGAGGATAGCTTGAGGCTCTGTCTCAAAAAAAAAAAAAAATAGCCAGGCGTTGTGGCAGGTTCGTGTAGTCCCAGCTACTCGGAGGCTGAGGCAAGAGGATCACTTGAGTCCAAGAGTTTGAGGTTATTGTGAGCTACGATGCCAAAGCCCTCTACTGAGGGTAACAAAGTGAGACTTGAAAGAGAGAGAGAAGGAAGGAGGAAGAAAGGAAGGAAGGAGGGACGGAAGGGAAGGGGAGGGGAGAAGAGGGAAGGAGAGGAGAGGGAAGGGAGAAAAAAAGAAAGAAAGATGGCTGGCCGGGCACATTGGCTCACACCTGTAATCCTAGCACTCTGGGAGGCTGAGGTGAGTGAATTGCTTCAGCTCACGAGTTCAAGACCAGCCTGAGCAAAAGTGAGATCCACCCCCACCCTGTCTCTACTAAAAATAGAAAAATTGAAGAAAGAGGATCGCTTGAGCCTGAGCTGGAGTTTGCTGTGAGCTGATGCCACAGCACTCTACCCAGGGCAATAGCTTAGGAAGGAAGGAAGGAAGGAAATCAAATATTTAAAAATTATATTCACAGGGCAGCATTTGTGGCTCAAAGGAGTAGGGTGCTGGCCCCATATACTGGAAGTGGTGGGTTCAAACCCGGTCCCAGCCCCCCCCCCAAAAAAAATTATATTAACAGCAAAAACGTGTTTGTGTTGGGGGTAATTAGAAGGTGTCGAAGAATAGAAATTTCATACCCACGTGATCCAGGGGCCAGGCAAGTAACCTGCAAGAGAAAAGGGGACTCAGCTCAGGATAAGGTGAACAGCAATGTTCACTACCTCTGAGTAGTGGAAGATGTGGGTTGGTAAGGGTTGGGTGGAAGACACTCCAGACCTCATCCTCCATCCAAATAATTCAGAAACATCACACCAACCACTTTCAAGAGTCCTTGATCATGTCATTTAACCTTGCAATGCTTTGACGTCCTTGTCTGTTAAATATTAATGACAACATCTGCTCATGAGGTTGCTGTGAGGATTTAAAGAAACATGGACCTAAGGAACAGATCCATGTTTTTTTTGAGACAGAGTCTTGCTCAGTCACCCCAGCTAGAGTGCTGAAGCATCATCATTGCACACAGCAACGTCAAATTTCCCAAGGGATCCTCCTGCCTCAGCCTCCCAAGTATCTGGGAGGTGCCACCACACCCAGCTAATTTTTCTATTTTTAGTAGAGTTGAGGGTCTCACCCTTGCTCAGGCTGATCTCCAAACTCTTGTATTCAAATGATCCTCCCCACCTCAGGCTCCCAGAGTGCTATGATTACAGCCACCATGCCCAGCCTACAGACCCACAATAAGTCAGTCATCATACTCTGACTCAGACAGCTCACAACCTCACAAACTGGACACAGACTCCCAAACAGATCACAGATCTCACACTGCAGACATACCCCTAAAAAGCCCAGAGACTCCACATTCTAGAAGAAAGATCCCCTCAGTACTTATGGATAGGTGGTTTTTCCTGTGTTACTAAGAAGTAACCCCCGGGCCAAGCATGGTGGCTCATGCCTGAGAGGCGGAAGCAGGAGGATCTCTTGAGTTCAGAAGTTCAAGACCAGCCTGAGCAACAGTGAGATACCCGTCTTGAGCAAAAATTAAAAAAAAAAAAAATTACCTGGGTGTGGTGGTGCATGCCTATATTCCTAGCTACTCAGGACGCTGGGGCAGGAGTTGAGACCAGGAATTTGAGATTGCTGTGAGCCAGGCTGACACCATGGCACTCTAGTCCAGTCAACAGAGCAACACTGTCTCAAAAAAAAAAAAAAAAAGAAGAAGTAACCCCTTATACACATCCACCTTAAGCTTTTACTTTCAAGGCCTTGAGTTTCATGTCAGAGTCCTTGTACTTACTTGCACTATCTACCCCTGTCACCACCCACAGTGCTCAGCTAGAGCCCTCCCACTCCTCCTTGATCTCTGGACATTGAGACACTTGATTGTCTGGAGGCCCCAGGACACCTACCCTGCTATGCTGTGCCTTCTGTCCTCCAGCCTGCTAGTCAGGATGTGGGGCAGGACTTCGGAAAAACAGGTAAAGTGGTCCCTGGGGACTTAGAGCACAGGTGCTGGCTCCAAAGCTGGAGATCCTCCTGCCTGAACCCAGTAACCTGTCTTCCTTTTCTGTGGGCTCTTCTGGTGTGCTGACCTCCATTTCCTTGTCTTTCTCTCTCTTTTCCTCTTTCAAAGACAAGCAGAGGGCAGCAGAGGCACACAGAAAGGCCCTGCTCTAACCAATGGAGGGCCCAGCCCACATGTCTGTAGGGATATGTCTGGGCCAAGGGCTGGCTACTCCTTCCGGGTGGCTCAGGCGGAACCAGTTTAGCCAGGGACAGGTAGACAGATAGAAAGGTGGCTCACAGAGGGGTGTCCCCAAAGACTGTCATGATAGGGCTGTGTGTGGAGGGGCCAGGAACCATAGCACTGATTTTGAGGTTTGCCAGAATTTAGGTGCCCCTGGGCAGCCTGAAGGGGACCTTGAAGAGGACTCTGTAGGAAGACAAAACCTTTCCCTGTGGAGAGAAGCCTTGTGTTCTGGGCACTCCGAATATGCCTCTGTAGGTTGACCACCTGAGGGACTATAACAAACTGGTCAGCATACAGAGGAGGCCAACATAAGGAACTAGGCCAATTGTACTGAAACTTACATGTGGTACATGTCTAGTCTATGAAAATTAGGTCAACGTAGGGAGGTGGTCAACTATGGAGATTCAACCATATTGATTTTATAGGGCTACTATGAGAAATAAAATGGTGGACAGGCTGGAGTGCAGTGGTGTCATTACAGGTCACTGCAACTTTTAACTCCTGGGCTCAAGCAATGCTCCTTCCTCAGCTTACCAAGCAGCTGGGACTACAGGCAAGCAATACTAGCTAATTTTTTTTTTTTTTGGTAAAGACAGTGGCTTGCTATGTTGCCCAGACTGGTCTTGAACTCCAGGCCTCAAGTGATCCTCCCTCACCTCAGCCTCCCAAACAGCTGAGATTTTAGGTGTGAGCCATCACGCCTGGCCAAAATGGATATTTTCTACAGTGCTTAAAACAGGGCTTGACACACAGCAAGCCTTATATACTTACTATGTCTTAATCATCATTTTATAAAGCGAGCTCCTTGACCTCGCCTCCAAGACCCTACAAGATCTGGCCTCTGTCTTCTCCCTCTCATTACTCACTCACTCTTGGAGTCCTGAACCATGCTGGCCTTCTTCCTGTTCCTTAAGAAAGCCACTCTTTCTCATCTTTGAATTTGCAAGGATGGTGCTCCAAGTAGGCAAAGCAGGGCCTGGTAAGCGAATCTGAGCTGGCAGGGCATTAGAAAATGGGAAGAATAGGTTGAGTTTATTTCCAATAGACTAGAAAAATGGAGGGGAGGGCGCTCAGTGCCTGTAGTTCAACAGCTAGGGCACCAGACACATACACCAGAGCTGGCAGGTTTGAACC